GCCCATACATTTTGGAAATTATAAGCAATATTTAATTAAGTTATTTATATGTATTTAGGTACAATAACAATGCATATACATATGTACCTGAAGCTATGTATACTTACAGGCATGCAAAATGTAAACAAGAATATAATATAAGCAAGCGTTGTGCGCTTCATTGCTTTTGCAAGTGTCACGGTTTCAAATGCAACTGAGAAGAATGAAACATTCGCCCTAGTCGTCGGACGCTTAATTCGCAAACAATATGTACATATGTATATAGTCTCTGAACACTTGGGCGCAATTCACACTATGTATGCTAAGTCGGGTACTTTAATCGCAGAGCTAAAAATAAACCAAAGCGCTACTTTTAAATAAGGCGGTAGATTAGATTATTGCGTTGTACATATGTATGTATGTACATATTTGGCGCTAAATAGTTAAATAATAATTATTAAGCAAAAATCAAAACCGACTTCAATTCTCATATCCAATTATCGGATCTAAACAAAACTAGCATGGGACCACCCCTGAGGTACCACCTTTCTGATGAAAAAAGAATTATCGAAATCGGTTAAAATAAAAAATATTCCGACGAACTGATAACCTCCTCCTTTTTTTGGAAGTCGGTTAAAAATATATTAAAATAATTTTTAAGTTAAATCAATTTTTACACTACGAGTAGCGATGGAAACGGTTTTGAAAAGGCTTTATTTCTTAATTATATGTAAGAGGGTTGCCACCTGTGTCTAAAAGCAAGTTCGACTTAAATAAAGACAGAAAATTTAAATGCATATCCTGATATGGATGCTTAAAAATATTTTGTAGCGGGTTGCCACCTTATTAAAAAGTTAGATTGAATATAAGCAATATGTTGAATAAATTACTTCAATATGAATATAAATCAAAATTGCTTAGAATAAACTTTATTTCCAAACTACATGTAGGAGGGTTGCCACTTGATTTTATATTAAAATTCAATTTGAATTGAGAGTATTAGTTAATTTAAATATGTATCAAAATACAAGTGTCAGACGAAAAATATTTAATGAGGTTTTGGTTTAAAAATAATTTGAACAGGATTGCCATCTGTTTGAAAAGTCGAATTAAATTAAATTTTTTGATATATTGAAATATTGGCGTCAAACAGGAGTATTAGGAGATATCTATTCTAAGCATTTATAACAATTATGTCGTTAATTTATGTATGGGACTACCTGTGAGGTAATACCCTTCCTTTAAAAAAATAATTATAGAAATCGGTTTGACGTGGTCCAAAGTTATGCGGTAACATACATACAAAAATATATATTCCGATGAATTGATAACCTTCTCCTTTTAGTGAAGTCGGTTAAAAATTAATACGAATTTCTGCAGTATGAAAGGAAATAAATATGAATCGAAGTACTGATACACGTCATGGCATATATCTATTTAAAAACTGATGGTACATAAGTATGATTGAAGTTAATGGGGATCTGCTTCTCTATTGCTAAGTATTAATATTTTGCAATTCCTGTTGATTTATTAAAATCAATTCAATACATACATAATTTAACATACATAACATACATAATTTAACTTAAATGTGATCTTAATAATACGTATTCTACGTTTAAGTTTAGCGGCTGTGGCTCCGACACAGCCCGCAGGTCAAGACGAAGGCGCTGGACTGATCCTTTTTTTGCCCGCTCGGAATAGACCTGTCGAAAACTGGACCGGACGTTTAATATAAAAATAAAATAAAATACATTCACAACAAAAATGTTTTTTTTTCATTTGTATACTTCTTAGGCTACGGTTACTATATATGCGTATTCTAACGAAATTTTGTTCTGACGACTTTTTCGGAACAAAAAAATACGAAACAATTAAACAAACAAGTCCGTATACATATGTACGTATAACATTGTGATTTGTGAACATACATATGTATGTAGATAGTAGACTGCATCACCAAAAAAAAAATTGCCGTTCTTCCGCCGGAATTACAAAATGTATTGTATTTTAAGACGTCCACCAAAATATTTCAGTAAAATATTAAGATTTAAGCGAGCTGGACCGATTTGGAAATACCTCCCAAAATGGAGTTTTTTATGAATAAAAATTGTTTCTTAAAGAACTTTTTGAAAAAAGTCCCCTCAGATGACAGAACAGATTGGGCTTAAAAAATCTGCATGAAAATATTTAAAAATCTTTTCAGCGGAATCGTAATAATGAGATTTTTGATGCTGTTTTTTACTTTTTTCAAAGACTGATTTACGAAAAACTTAAATAACTGGCCCCAAACTATTTAGACTTATGGGGTCTGGGTAGAAAGGTATTTTCCCACCATTTTTATTTATGTGCAAAAAAAGTAATTCGTGTCTGATTTTTTTTTTTCAAATACCAACACCACTTAATTCAACTTTGAATGATGTTCGTTCATCCTACCTTTCTCTTTCATCCTTTGAATGAGTTTATTAGCAAAGAAATCAAAAGGGTGAGAAAATACCTTTCCAATGATACCTCACAAGTCTAAATCGGAAGAGTTTAGGTTCAGTTATTTAAGTTTTTCTTATATCAATCTTTGAAAAAATTAAAAAAACAGCATCAAAAATCTCATTACGATTCCGTTCAAAATTTTTTTTAATAATTTTTTTTTAATTTTTTTTTTGTGGGCAACTCCCACACCAACTCATAGATATATGATTTGATATTTAGAAGGGAGGGCTTTGCAACTTCCATAGAAACTTGAAGTTTTGTGGTAGAATACAGCGCCTTCCCTGCAGCAACAAGGCGGTCAATTTTCCGAAAAGCACAAGTACCCTCACCTGTAAAAATTTGACTGGTTAGAATTGGATATTTGTTTGCATCAAAAATGTTAGCTTGCGACCATCCCCTAAGCAACTGTTCTAGAGATATACAAAAAATGAAACTCTCACAGATTTGTACATACAGAGTGGCATTGTATAGAAATTGGTATCGAGAATGAGTTCAGCTCAATAAAAAATTTCCAAACAACAGCACTCTGTGACTGCCCAAATGTAAAAATGCACCAATCCACTATGGGTATAATGTTCATATTTTTGGCATAAAGTTCATTTTTTTTTGTTTTGTATTTTAAAATTTTTACCTATTTCCTAAATCTATACATCTATATCCCAATTACTAAAAAAAACTTATTCAAATTAAGTCCTCGTGGCATTACTTTTTTCACTAGAGTGCTTTCAAAGTGAGCTGATTGAAATTCACATTGTCTTAGAAGATGTTAGAGGAGATAACACTTAATTTTAAGTGCTTGTAGTTTGAAAAGTTTAAATATTTAAAAAGTGTTATTGTGGAAAGCATTAGTCTAAATATGTAAAATTATTATTTGACGGCCCTTTAGTTATTATTATGTTTTATTGTCCAATTGTGCAATGTTTTTCGGTTTTTTATGTAGAGTATTTGATAGAACCTAACAATTGTAATAAATGACAAGTTATTAACAAAAGTGTGTAGATTAATATATAACTAATCTGCCTTGCCCCATTTGCCCCTTTTGGAAAAAATCGCGTTTCTTTAGAGAAATGCGTATTTAGCCATGCGCGAGAATCGAGAAATAAAACCTCTTACAGAGTGATAACTCTTTTCAGAAGTACAACGTTTGGGTAACAAATTTCAAGACGAAAATTGGTAGGTCACCTCAAACCTCTATAACACGTACATATATATAAAAAAAAAACAGATTTTGCGCTGATATCTTAATATTGAGACTTTGTGCCAAAAAAATCGATTTTTTCCCATAGTGCAATCGCCCAAAGTGAACATTTGAAATTACATTTGCATGTCGTGGCTGTAGCTGATGTTTGCTACTATTTGTTGTGCTGGCAGGAGTGTCCGAGTTCAAATGCCATTGGCGGAACACATAATTATAAATTTTGGTTTTCGATAGCTTTAATTTATTGCACAGGACCATCGATATGTATGTACGGATATATAAACTGGTTTATTCTGTTTTTCTTAATTTCAAAATTAGGAAACAATTTTTTTTCAAATCGTAATTTTTTTGATTAACTAGTAAACCGAGGTTTTAACCGAACACCCCAATACATATGTATGTACAAGTGTACCTACATACATGCATACCTTTGTACTTGAACGTTGGAACAAATCGTAGTCATAGATCATGCAATCATATATTAATTCTCTGCTGCTTCTAATAAATGAATAAATAATCGTAACTGATATTTTCGCAACAATAATATTAATTATATGTTAATCTATTTTAGGCTTGCACAGTACGTGATCATATTATTGCACCTCGCAATAATAATAATAATAATAATAGATTGGCGCTTACACACATGTTAGTGTTTGGCCGAGCTTCTCCTCCGATTTGTGCCGTGCGCCTTGATGTTGTCATACAAAGTTGTACGCCAACTCTGTTTTTCATGGCAGAAATACACTCGGAGGTTTGCCATTGCCTGCCGAGGGGCGACCGCTGTTAAGAAAAAATCTTTTTTCTACATTTTTTGCTATGTTGCTTTGACCAGGGCTTGAACCCAGGCCCGGAAAAAAGTGGGTAAAACGACCCTTGAAGCCTTCATGAAAAGTGGTTCAGTTTTAGGTGCGGACCATACATTTGTGGAAAATTTCCGTTCGGTTAATGGTTCAGTTAATTAATAGAAAAAAGCGTTTTTACGGTTCAAAACCGGTTCACGTCCCTGTTTAAAACTAAGGACCCGTTACTCAATGTCTGGTAAACACTAACTAGAGGTTAAACATCGTTATCGACGTAATCGACTCCCTCTTGTCGACATTTTGTCGCCCGTATTTTAGGCCTCCGCGTTTCCCTGATATGTACACTTGTCGGAATACTTTCGGTATGTAATTTGTAAAAAAAATCAAAACAAAGGTCGCAATTCAGGAAATTAAGTTTATAAATTTCTGAAATCATTTAACAAAAATTTCCTCCAGCGAAGACAAAGACGCTATAACTTGTTATATTTATTTTATTCAATTTACTGCTTGCTTTCTTCTTCTAATTTTTATACGCTGCAAAAATGTATGCAATAAATTTTCGGATTTTACTGACCGGTCTTGCTGCAGTGCGGTATGCCGAAATGAATCCGCTCCGATTTCATGTATGCGACACTTATGTGAAAGTGCCAATCAGGGATGCCGTTTGGATTTAAATAGATCCAATTGGATACATTTTTAGACGAATATTTGCGGGATACTTATTTTTTCCTATCAGTATAAATGTGGATACTTTTTTAAATAGGCCAAAATTTTATATTTTCTATAAAGTTTTTTTCGTTCAAAAATAGATTTTCATTAATGACGTTTTCCAAATGTTATAAAAATAGCTACTTAAGCGTGAAATTAGAGCATTTTATTTTTTGTGAATGAAGCAATGAACATATATAGAGATCTCACCAAAGCAGTGTAATAAGAGCTTTAACAGACGGCAGCGTTGATCCGGATCAACTCGGTAATTAACTGCAGTTAATCCGGATTAAGTCCCAGTTAATCCCGATCAACTCGGGAATTAACTGCAGTTGATCCGGATTGAGTCCCAAATAATCCCGATCAACGCTGCCGTCTGTTTGAGCTTTTAGGAGCAATTGTTTAGTTAGCTAAAAAAAATGCTTTAAGCAAGATCTTAATATATATATATATAAATTAAATATATCTCTTTCATATCACATATCTTCATTTGTTAATATAAAAAGAAAGAAGATCCCAATGGCGCGTATTCATAGTCCAGCAACTAAGTCGAAACTAACAAAGTTGCAACTTAAATTTAACTACCAACTTAAAATTTACCTCTATTCATAGTCGCATTTCAGACTTCTACTAAGTAGTTTCGACTTAGTTTACGATATAGCAAAACAAGTGTGAAAATTTATCGATATTTCTTTATGATATTTCGGAAAAATTAAATTTTTATTAAATAATGTCAAGTTTGATCATCCGTTTATGTAATTTTTATTTTCATTGCATGATTATGCAAAATAATAAGCTATCATTTTCTTGTTAATTGTGTGAAATAGCCAGAACAAC